ACGTTCACATGAACACAAGAACGCATCACCACTCCTAACCCTACTTTTCAAATCCTGGCTGGAGCTGAAAGCCCCTCCTTGTACGTTTATTCTGAATTTCTTTTTATGTTCGCTCAGTCTTGACGAGGTGTAACGTGTGACCCACGCCGACTCTTTCTTGTCCCCAGGTTCGAGGTGGGCTTCTCTCTGAGCTGTGAAGTGATGTTTATGAAGGTCTGCGCTGAAGGCAGGAGGACTGCTGGCACAGACTGGATGCCCCCCATCACTCTTCACCGCGCTCCGCAGAGACGTCCTGCCCCTGACGCCAGAGCGGGATCCATGGCAACAGTTTAGGCTGTTCTGTTATGTTCTTGTACTATCCATATTACTGCTGATTTCATCCAGGCAATTAGTGGTCCACTGAGGGGAGATTTAACATCGATTATTGTAGTCTTTAACCTGTTTCATATAATTGACCTTTGTGAATGGAAAAGAAAAAAAAAAATGTTATTTGTACCAACGAGCCATATGTAGAATTCTAAGTGTACCTATCAGAAACGTAGGTAACCGTATCAAAAATAAACCAATTAAGATCTGTAATAATTGTTGTGACAATACCATTAAGACCATGTCTTGGAAAGATTTCTGAATAATTTTTATATTTACATATGTTGGAGGAAGCTATGAATATTAATAAAACATTGTAACAATTTCAGTGTGAAGCTGGGTTAAAGTGTTTCTATTTATCATAGATTTAAAAAGACCAATTACCGTAATTTATCTCACTTGTGTAGCTTGATTTATTTTTTTTCCCTTTTCTGTATCTCTGCTTGCCTAAATGTTGAAACAAAAAGGAGGACAGATTAACCTCTAAATGTTTTATTTTTTTTATAAAACTTTAAAGCATGTTTCTGCAATAATTGAAATAACTTGAGGTCGAGAGAAGAAGCTAAGGGGTCAGGTAAATTTCACCATACTTGAATCTTGCAAGGAGATGGTATTTTTCTGCAAATCAGAATTTATGAAATCAATTTCTATATGTATTTGTTTGTCAATGTGTAATCACATTGATGCTGTTATTCATAAATCCTGATGTCTCAGTGAACCATCTTAGTGGTTTACAGATGAAAACAGTTTGATCTCCTTTGTGCTCATGTTAGGATGTATTTGGGTTCTCTTTTGATTAGGCCAAGCAAATCAG